GTCCCCTCACAGTCCCTCATTGAACTACGATGCATTTTATTAGATGCGGCAGTGGTACCATGACTACTCCCATCACTAACGCTTCCGATATAAGTAAGCAATCCATTTCCATTTTTCCTGCAGTTTATGCACATGACACGAATGACTCAATACCAAAGCAGGAAAACCCCAAATGTCATGCAGCTACCCATTCTTTTAAACCAGCAATACCAGTCATCCCGACCGAAAACACGCCATTACCTTAGAGATCACATCTGCTTCTCCATGTCTGTATTCACTTTCTATGCCTCAACCTCTTGCTCCTCCATTCTCAACTTTAATACATGTTCTCAACAACCCCCACCAGCATACACACGATATTTTCTGTATTTGCGATCAACACAGGATCTATAAACAACAAGCTCCACTTCCTGAACATAAATTGTACGAAATATTCCAAGCGCAGTTCTCGTCACTAAACTATAGGCTTCTACTAATAGATTGGATTCAACTCTAACAATCCCCAGCTACCAACTATTTCCTAAACATCGCTGCACAATGCAGGGGGAGGATATGTTAGTTAGCTTCATCAAACATCCACAGCGATATCTGCTAACCATCATGAGCTAGCAAACATCCCAGAATCTCTGTGGTCACCTGTTATTCGCATTTCTATCAAATATTTCTCGGATGAATCTATGCTCCTCCGAATGCACCAACTGGTGATATTGACACTATCTGCTCCGCGTTACATTGTACCTCAGTGCTGCGTATAAACAGAATAATAGCTGAACTACAATTTCCCTGATAAGATCTTCGTCACCAAATCCATCTTCATATTTTCATAGAGATTTCCTGTCGATTGTTGTTATTGGCTGGAGAATGGGTGAAATGGTTCACAAACCCTACTAGATCAACCAACGTATTTGACAGTACTTACATTAGAAATCGTACACGCATACATCGATTTGCTAGACAGTCTCGCTGGTATTGACCAAAACATGTTCCCCTTTATTTTCAGTATCAGAGAAAATGTCATCCTGGACCCGATTTTACAATACTCCATCCAGGGAATTAATTGGATACTCCCCCAACATTTGCTCCGATCCTCCGACCTGGATATATTTTTCCTATCCACAAAGTTTTGCCTAACAGTAGCAGAGTTCTATATTGACATCTACTATGCCATAACCAATCTTACTTCACGAAAGAAAGGGTTGCCTACAACTCTATGAACACAAAAGAACACTTACTCACCCGGGAAACGTGAAAATTGCTAGTAACGTTTCACAAGACCGGAGACTAGCAAACATATTACAAGGGCACGAATAGGCCACGTGGATCAAACATGCATAGACAATGAGACTCATCAGCGAGGAAGAAATTGTTTTATGAAAGGGTTGCAAAACAAAGAAAATCATCGCCATTCTTCGTCACAGAACCAGTAAAAGCGCTTCCTCTTACACGGGACACTTAACTGAACGCAGTAATATCTTTATTGACCCACCTGACATTTGTCTAGTGGTTTTCGTCTCCCTTGCTACATCTGCGATTATCAAATCTGATACTTTAACCGAATTTTCCCAACTCACAAAGACCAACGGCCTATGCAATGTCGATCATTCTCTCAGCAATATTCAGCGGCTAAGGAAAACCGTCAAACGTTCCCTCAGGTTAAACTCCGATGGCATTCCTTCAACTGCTATAAAAATGGGTGAACCAGACTTACCACTATTTCTGTTGAATGTCTTCCCAGTGTCACCAAGAACTAGCTATTTTCCTGACGAATGGAAAATCCCGTCCACCATACGAGGCCATATAAACGGTCCCAAACAAAATGTTACCAATTACTGTCCGATTCACGATGCTCCCACTACCGTTATTCCGTTTGAAAGATTAATCAAGATGACTATGTTGGAATTTCTTAATTCTCCGAAGCTGCTTAACGCAACTTAGCATAGCTTCCTCTGTAGACGTTCCTGCACGACCTGCCAGTTTCAGCAACCTAATTACGCCTCAGAATCCATAGACTCTGGCTGTGCAATAGATATATTATGTTTAAATTTAGAATAAGCAGTTGACAGTGTATTACAGAAACTGTACTTGCAAAGGGTTGAATACTTTGAAATGCGGAACCCGCTTTTAAGTCGGCTTTACTGCGACTTGATGCTCTCTCTTGTCTTCTATTCCTGCGATCTTCGCATTCGGTTTCGACTAGTTACATTTGATGACCACCACTCTTATGCACGTCGAATTACCAGCGGCGTCATCCAAGTAATTATATTTGGCATTCGCTTTTCTTCTCCATATGAACAATAGTGACATATCCAACAAAAGTACACAACGTCCTAGTTGCGGTTGACCTTAATAGTTCTTGTAGAAAGTAGAAGTCACGATTAAACTGCACACAACAATCTGCTTTGACGGGGAATCGAACCCAGGGTCCCACGAATTTCCGGTCCACTGCTCCACCACTGGGCTACCGAGGGATGAAGATCAGGTGCGCAATTTAATACATGACTTCTGCTTGGTGCGCGACGTATTGCCAATGAGCTCACAGTATCTGTCCTGGTGTTGCAGATTGGCTCACTCACTCGTCCCTTTCAAATGGATCGAATTATCTGTCCTTCTGATGTCCATAGGCCGATGGTAGGTTACTTGTGGATGTTTGTGAGTGGTGTAATGTTCGTAGAAAGTAGAATTCACAATTAAACTGCACACAATAGTCAGCCTCGACGGGGAATCGAACCTCGGTCCCACGAATTACCAGTTCGCTGCTCTACCTGTCGAGGCAGACTATAGTGTGCAGTTTAATCGTGACTTCTACTTTCTACGAACATTACACTACTCATAAGAATTCGCGATTAATATTTCTATAGACCCCAGCTTGCTGTGATTCAGAGCACACCATTTTTAATTCAAGATGGTCTTACTCTCCTGAGGATTGGTCTGACACATGACTGATAAAGTTCTCGACCAAAAAATCAAGAAGTATGACATGCGTTGCTTGATTCCGAACGATCAGTTAACTTTGACAGCAAAAGTATTTTTATACGGCAGTCAACCGGACATCTTGGAATGCGGTATTCTTTAGACTTCTGTTCTTCTGATTAAGCCCAATAGCAAACGGCTCGAGCCAGATAGTTCGGGAATAATATATGCCACAAAATCCACACGGTTCCTGTCAAACTGAAATTGTTCAAAACTTGAAATAGTAGAGAATATCCGTACTTAGGGATGGGGATGTGACTTTTGTACTGCTCTCAGAGCTGACTTTCTTGTTGGACGAAAGTAGAGGGTACAGGTCGACGACTATCTGACTGGTACCCCTCTGTAAGGGGCATACCTCAAGGCACTGTGCTGCCGCCCACTGTGTTCCTGATCCATATCAACAATCTACCGCAGCTTCTCCGGTCGCCGTGTGCCTTGTTTGCGGACGATATGAAGATTTGGAGAGAAACTGGCTCTCCCGACGACTGTGTCCTGCTTCAGCAAGACCTCAACCGCATATCCACATGGTCTGCAGAATTTCATCTCCCGGTCAACCCGGCCAAGTCTGTATTTATGAGGCTGGGGAAGGGTTATAACGGCTGAACCTACACCGTTGACGGCCAACCGCTATATCCCACACTGTCCGTGAATGACCTAGGTGTACTCTCGCGCTACGATTTGAAGTCTGTGGACAACACGAACAGGCTATATCGGAACGGACTGCGCATGCTTTGGGCGCTCAAACGTAGCTTCTGCACATGGTCTGAAGAGGTTGCCACTCGCCTCTTCTCTTCTATCATTAGACCAATGCTAGAGTACGGTTCGCCTGCCTACTTTCCGATTACCCGAAGCGAGACACAAAAGATCGAACGGATCCAACACGTTGCCACCAGGCTCATCCCGAGTTTAGGTGGCTTGGGGTATGAAGACCGGTGCGAGACACTAGGACTTTACACCTTGTCCTACCTTCGGATGCGAGTCGACCTCATTATGACCTACCGTATTCTACATCTCGGTGACTTCCCAAAGCTAAGGCCAATGCTGCACTTACGAGGGTCATGAAGCACACGCGGGCACAGATACAAACTTGTTGTGCCGGATATGAAATGTGTTCCCCATCCACTGTGCTTCGAACGGAGAGTGGTAAACATTTGGAACAGTTTACCTGAACACGTGATGGAGGCAACATCTGTGCAACAGTTCAAAACGTTGTTAGACTTATATTTTACCACTATTCGGTTCAGAGAACGATTGCACACTTGTGATGACATAACACCTTTGTGAGTTCTGAAATATTGTGAGTCATCTATTTTAAATGTTACATGAGAACGACAGCGATATTCACGATTGACAACTTTTATAACGTTTTTCACCATATTTCGAAAGAGTTGTACTGAATTCATTTCTGCTTGCTCTATAATGCAGTATTCAGAATGATTATCTTGCGTAGGTTTCGCTGCCAGACTAGGCAACATCATCAGTGCAGCTTTAAGATCCTGATTCGCAGAAACTCGTAAGCGACTTCGAGACATAAGTGCTCACTGATCGAGTTCCGCTTTGATTACTGGGCTTCAATAACCTCACGTGCTTGCTGGCTTTTGGCTCTTCCGAGGATTTTGACTTGTTCTAAGTCGAACTGGTAGCCTTCGGCATCCATATGCACGGACATCAAAGAGTTACTATCATGACGACCGATGGCTAGGTTATGTACATATAACCGTGTGCCAAGCTTTCTTCCTTAATGTGAATTTTGTGCCTTCTGACTCAAAAACTGTCTGGATGATAGCCTGTGAATTACAACCGGTGAACTGTGCGAGCGATATTCCAGTCGATGCAGCGGCTTCCATTTTGATCATCAGGATCCAGGGTCAGATCGAAGACTTTCAGCTGTTGATAGACCGACGGAGTTCGTTGTGGGCCTCAAAGCCGGGCACACACCGTCGACCATCTGGTAGTTTTAAAGATCTTGCCAAAACCCAGCTTTGACTGTGCCAGAAGCAAGGTCGCAAAAGGAAAAGCTGGCGGACACCATGGCTGTTGCAGATGCGATCATTCTTGGTCGAGATCCAGAGCCGGGGATAGTGTTAGATTTTCACCAAGCGTCTGTTGATAATCCATTTTCACCGTTGAGTCCTCCAAACGGCAGGTTATTAGCCGGGTTTATTTGGTCCAACATGGGCCAAGGAAACACATACAAACTGTTACACACACCAATGTATGATCCGCTTCGACGCAAGTTGGTCAAGATAATCAAGAATCACGTAAGCTGTCGCGTCACTTTGAATTGTATCCTCTCCTACCTTGGATGTTTTCAAAAAACGATTAGATGTTGCTCTTAGCTCCCAGCATTTTGTTACCTAAATTCCTCTATTGTGGATTACGCCAAGCAAGCTTTTCAACAGGATTTATGTATCAAATGGACCCAAGTGAGCAACCCTATTTTACTTCCCTCACGCCTTATATCAACGATCACTGCACCTCCGTGTCTATCTGAACGTTTACGCTTGATTTTATTTTAAATTTTACACTGATGTAATTTGCCGAATTATTCATCTAGTCAGACGTTCGGTAGATGACCCACATATATTCATCTTATCGTATTCACCCCAACCATCCTACGGTACGTGTCAGGCACTTGCTTTTATCCCGTGATAAATCATTGTTCATTGTTCATTGAATTATGGCTGTGATCAATTCGCGACCTTCGCTGGGTTGACAATGGACATTAGGTGGCACAGCGGTGTCCATGATGACGAAATATTGTTTTGGAAAGGAAAAGTTGGTGGTCCACACATAGACTGAGCAGTCTCTCACAGTTGTCAGAGCGAACATCATAATTCACACGCGGTGCTTATCAGTGGTATTTAGATGGCGATAGGTGAAGGACACGCATATTGAAGTTTACTATCATAACAATGATGTGAGTTTTAACTGACCTTAGAAACAACTCTTGAAGCTTTTGATCGAACTGGTTTTTTGACAGTATCCCATCTGCAGTCTGTGTGCGTGTAGGTGACGATCGCAAAAAGAGTATGTTTGTCGGCTCGAAAATCTGCTGACCTAACAGGAGCAATTGCGCCTCATTGCACAAGGACGACTGTTGATTGAAATCCAATCAAGTAGCGTGGCTTCGGCTGTAGCACTGAGAGCAATCCCAACACCAATTTGCCCAGCTGCGGCAGACTCATCGTCACCAGAAAGCTGAAAATAGAAGCAGGTTTGTGGGTGGAGTGGTGATGACAGCTAGTAGGTTGGGGTGGAATCCTGGAGTCGTGTGTGCAAATCCAGCTTGCTGTCCGATCTGCAGAAATGTGTGCAAGTTGAACGATGCTAGTTTGAAATGCTTTCCGTAACGTAGCAGCGAAGAAGGCAGACTTCGCGGTTAGCAGCTCCTTCTCGAGGAGTGTGTCGTGGAGTTGACGAATATTAAAGTAACAAATACATCGGCATTGGTAGGGTTGCTTACCGTTGAAGAACCAGTTAATGATGGAGGTCAATGATACAAGGAGAGAGTAGATAACATGGTAGCATGTTTTAAATTTGGCTTGGTAACAGGACTGTGTGCCACTATTAGAATGAGAGATAGAGAGTAATGCGGTATCATGGTACTCCAACAAGCGAAATACCCCCCGGTTACGAAGGCCGAAATGGGGACCTTGTCTTAAAACGACCACCGCTCCGAGTCTTTGCCAAAGAGCCTAACCCACAAGAGCAAGATAAGAGTTTTGAACCCGTTGGGAAGCGGTAAATTAAAACTCAGTTCATGCACTTTCCGAATGACGAAGGGCCGAAGCAGGGGTCCAATGCTTCCGAACTCAGAGGCAAAATCCGGCGCTGGAATTGCTTATCCATGTACATTTTCTCTTAGAAAGTGCTGGGGAGTGACTTCATGTAGTGACGAGTCAAATCCGCCACATCGCAGCGTTGATAAGCAGACACTTGTAGCTTTTTACAGGAAGAACGCTTGGCACACAAACTATATATGCTAGCTAGAGGTGGGAAACACCTCAGCTACTGTGCCTCAATACATAAAAGAAAAAAGGGAATAAAATGCAACAGATGCAAGCCATCTGAGCTACCGGTAACGAATGGGCATCGTGCCGGTAGGCTACCAGCTGGCTACTATGCAGCAGAAAGAATGTTACTATGCAAAATTATAAAATGCTAAATAACGGTTGGAGAGTGGCAAGGAGCCGACCTCATTGACGTTCCTGCTGTGAGTTTCTTTGTCCCTCCCCATCCCTTTTAGCCTCCCCCTCCACCTACGATCTCATTTCGTAGATTAAAACATAATAATTTCTTCTTTTTGCCTAGTAGCCGACTGGTAGCTTACCGGAACGATGTCTACCCGTTGCTGGTAGCTCAGCTGGCATGCAAATTTGTATTTATTTTCCGTTTTCATTTATGTATTGCGGCACAGTAGCTGAGGTGTTTGCCACATCTAGCTGACGTGTATAATGATGATGATGATAGTTGGAGTGTGAGGCTAAGTGAGATGGGGTGGGACAAAGGAACTCACAGTACGAACGCCACTGAGGTCGGCTCCTAGCCATATGAGCAAGTGTATCCAGTCAAACATGTTCACCGTCTTTCGGACCCAAATCAGGGAGCCGAGATGCTCCAACCTAGGCCAGCCTCGAAGTGAAAGCTTTCATTCCTCTAGACCAAGTTATCGCTTAGCCACCCTTCCTCTTCTTCCATCCACCCGCCTCCGGCGCGGAAACGAAGCACGTCGCGGGAGTCGATGGGCTGGCATGCGTAACACGTGCCCGAACCATCGGAGCCTAGTGAGTGAAATAACGGTGCTGAGCGGTTAATTTCGTTTTCCTGTGCGGTAAACAAGGTGTCAAACACGCCAGTTGCTCACGTGGTGTTCCCACCAGATATGAGCTAAACTGCGAAGACACCGGTGGTCAAACGTAACTAGCCTCTTCAGGTTTGCTGCTTTAAGGGGGCCAGGTTTCGTAACCGCACAGTAGGGTCGAACGTGCCGCTGCATTGTACACTCTACTCTTCAGGGAAAGAGTGATGTCACGCCGGCGCCATAAGTGGCGAAGGTTAGCAAAAGCGCCCCGAGCTTTTGCTATATGGTTGGTGATCTCATCTTCAGTCCCACAGGCGCTGATACAACTTCCCAGGTAGTTGAAGTTTTGAACGACAGAGTTGATCTCCACCAACTGTCAAGGAAAAAGGAGGTCCAGGCCAATCTTGGAGGAACGCTTTGCACTTCGATTTTGCAAAGCAAAGCTCGAAGCAGCTGACAGCCAGTGCTAATCTGTCCAGTGTCGCTTGGCACGTTTGTGAGCTATCACAGATTAGGACAATATCGTCAGTATACTCCAAGACAAGAAGTCTTTCTCCTGGGAGCAGGACCACACTTTCTAAGTCGTGTCCCGTGAGCGCGATTTCCATGACTTCATCAATAGCGAAATTGAAGAGGAAAGGTGACAGTGGGAATTCTTATCTCACACTGCTGGAGATATTGAAGGGTGACGACAGCTTCCCGTAAGCCCTCACTTTGCACGAGCTATGCGCATATAATGCCCGGATAATATTTACATATTGCTCAGGTACATCTTTCCAGAGTGGACAGTTCCAAAGTGCACGTCTATCCACCGAATCGAATGCACCTTTAATATCGAGGAACACGACAATGGTGGGCCGCCAATATATGTGACGGTGCTCCAACAACTGACGCAAAGTGAAGATGTGGTCAATACAACCACGACTTAGACGAAATCCAGCTTGCTCTTCACGGATCTGGCTTTTACGAGTGTCAGTCATTCAGTGTAGGATGACAGAAGTAAGCAATTTGGTGGCGATGGAGATCAGACTGTTTCCTCTATGGCTGCCGCATTCCGATCGTGAGCGTCCCTTGATAATTGGGACTATGGAGCAGCGTTTCAAGTCGGTTGAGACAATTTTCCGGCCTTACAGTTTCACTAGTAACGCGTGTAAATTATCCACAAGAGCAGGCCCCCCCCCCGAATTTGAAGAGGGCTGGAGGAAGATCATCTGGTCCCGCGGCTTTGTTCAACTTCAACAGTGCGATTTCACGTTTGACTTCCGAGCGAGAGGGTGAATCCAATGGGACAGCCCACGAAGCAGGACGATCAGTGACCGGCGAGAAATCTACAATTTCGACCGATTAAATTGCCTTTCAAAGTGCTCAGCCCAATGCTCCAAGCGTTTTGACAAGTTGTGGATAGGCTGTCTACTCTCGTCACCTATAGTATCACTAACACCAGATCTCCTGCTTCCCATTTCCTGTACCAGCCGGAACAACTCACCATGGTCACCAAGGGCAGCGGCCATTTTCATCTCTGATGCACGATGAGACCACCAGGATTTGCGGCCTTTCTTCAGGCTGGCACGGGGTTTTTGCCTGGAGCTCTTTGCGAGTTTCATTGTGTTCGCTTCCAGCCGGAATATGCCTGCGTGCATTGCTAGTTTCCAGAGACTGCGAAGAGACCCAATGTCCATGTTGGCGACTAGACTTACCACATGAGATTTTGCCTGTTGCTAGTAAGTACTGATGAATATGTGACCAGTGAGCTTCAAGTGCATCCAGTGAGCACTTACTCAACTCGCATGGCAGCGTACTTTGATAGTCATTCAGAACAGCTGGTTTCGTCAGTTGGCTGGTGTCAATGTGCTCACAATGTCGTCTTGGGCATCCGCCAAAGCGCATCCGCAGTTCAGCACATTCAAGTGCATGATCGGTATCCACACATGTGCTCCAAATCGAGCGACAGTTCTGGACACAGCCTCTTCATCGGTAACTTATCGCAATGTGTTCGGTTTGCGTCCAAGGCTGGTTCGAGGCTGGTGGGTGCCAAGTCACCCTCCGGCGGGTGCTGTGTCGGAAATTACTGCTCGCAAGAAATAAGCGGGCATCTTCACACAAAGGAAGTAACCGCTCACCGTTATCGTTACGGGAGCCTACACCATGTTGGCCGCTCAGATGTGAAGCGGACGGTTACCTATTGAGTTCTAGTGCTGGGACAAAATGCAGTCTTAAGCAAAAACACAAAATAGAGGAAAAATCAATGCACTTGCGTTATAGTTCCTTCTTCAATCCATGTTAGTCCGATGGCGACTAGAGATGCTTACATATAATCAGAGTAATGGATAGACGTGACAGCAGCACAATCACAAGCAGCAGCAAAACCGAAAGCAGCACGACGCGAGCGCGTAGAAATTGTTATATTCAAAATTTGTGAATTTAAACAAATGGTACAAAGTGATCGGTAACGGAAATAATAAAAACAAAGATAAATTACCGT